AATTTATTTTAAAAAATACTATATTTCGAAAATAAATTGAAATCAATCTGAAGCGCGACTTACTTGGTAAATTAATTGTTCACTTAAAAATGTTAGTGTTGCCAACGTCGTGAAAGAAAATGATGAGGTATTGTGGAAAAAATACGTTTAGGTACTGGTGTTTAATCAACTGGCATTATCACTAAGATCGCAGAGAAAAAAAGTTTTTGGAAATATCTTTGAATTTTCTGGGCGGATCCGAAAACATATTTTCAGTTCCCCATCAGGAGACTGAGACGCGTCCAATGTCGCTTCATATGTCTCGATTGGTGCAGGGGAAGAGGTGTATCCGCGAGTGATGTAACCGCACAACTGCACAATCGCACAGTCGCACAATCGCACAACCGCACACCCCCACACCGACACATCCACACATCCGCACATCCGCACAATTGTACATACGCACACTCTGTGTTTCAGTCAAAACTGTGGAGGTATGAGTAATCCAAAGAAAGTAATAAGCTCATTTTTAACATTAAATGTAAATGAGTTTCATTAATATTTAATAATAACTGTAATAATATCTTTGTTTTATGATAAAAAACATGATACATTATTTGGAAGAAATAGGCAACTGTGCTTTGTTGAAAAACGATGTTAAATACATTTGAAGCGTTTTTCTTCAGCTCATTCGCGGAAATATGTTGAATATCATTCTTGAGTGAAGATCTTCATAAGTCATCCTATTCTTAGCTACTTAGTAAAGGTATTAGGGATTAGATAAATAAAATGACTTGGTGTTTACTTTAAGGTGTTTACCTCTTGGCTGCGTTGCGACCTTCTTCATGCAATTCGAACCTCGGCCGAAAGGGCACTGAGGCATTAAACTAAATTGTCATTTCAATAACCCGATTCCGAAATTACCATAGGTACTACTTCAGATCGCAACAATTGTAGGATTTTGTATTTAGTGTATTGCTTGAGGCATTCTGGATCCGTGAAACTTCAAAGCAAAATGAAATATGAGTGTGACAGCTCGGCCTCTGAGGAGATGTCAATTTGGCTAACTCACAGAGTTTAAACATCGTAAGGCAATAGAACACCCTTATTCAACTATTGCCACTTTCCCACATATTAATTTAACAACGCGAGAGACTGTTCTTGAACAATTACTAATCCAACGGTAAAATGCAACCACGACTTCTAAAAGTGGATTCAACATGATCTGCAAGCGCACGTTCAAATTTAGAACTGGTGGAATGTTCGTTCATCCTGTGGTCTCGAAATCAACACGCAACCGGTGACGCAGCCGGCGGGGCCGCGTCTTCACGCTCTGGCGACTCCGGGAAGCGGGGGGTTGTTTACGAAAGCCCGGAGCCAATGTTTTCCATGATCGCAGAGGAAACGGGCTGCGGAGCCGGGAGGGCGGGTTCTATGCCGAGCAGAAGGGGGAAAGCGGCCGAAAGGAAGCAATTCAGAAGCTGCGGGCGCGAGAGGAAGTAATTAAGATTGGGGAGGGGGAAGGGAGGAACGGAGGAGGAAATAATGGATGGGGGGATGGAAGAGGGAAAGTGTTGAGGCAGAGAGAGAGAGAGAGAATGATGATGATGATGATGAAAGGGAACGATAAGAAGGGAACGAGATGGATAGAGCGAGAGTCAGAGATAGGGAAGGAAAATGAAAGAGATAAAGGGGAGGAGAAAAGACGGAAATACGAATCAGAGGGTGGAGGAAGGAAAAGGGAAGATAGAGAGAGAAAGAGAGAGAGAGAGAGAGAGAGTGAGAGAGAGAGAGAGGGAGCGAGAGAAATCGACTGACAGAGAGGGGGAGAGAGAGATGGTCCAGAGCAACGATGGGCGATAATGTAGATCAGTTCTCTAATCTCTAGCTCGGCGGACGATACATGGAATTTATGTGATGTTCCTTTACCCGCGCCCTTTAAATTCAAGTCACAAATATTTTAATGTTTAAAACACAAGAGAGACTTGGTGGCAGTATTCTCTCATCAAGGTCGAAAAATCATCTCAAAATGTTTTAAATATCTGATAAAATTCATGTATTCTAAATTAATTTACTAGTAATGCAAAATACAAAACAAGCAAATGCGTGCAATTCATTGTTGTAGTCACTTATTCGGTAAAATATAGTAGAGGCACGTCGTAGTTATTTAAATTTCTTTTGACTTACGTAAAACAGAGAATAATATGATTAATCAAAATATGTTCTTTCAACCTAACTTTCTTTCTTCATTTACTCGTAATTACTTTGAGTTTACTTTCGTTTCTGTATAAAATATTGAGAGAGTAAACCCGGAGTATTTGAGATTTTCTGAAAAAATAACAATGGAATCTCATTCATTTCTGTGAATTTCATTCATTGTGAAGAATAATGAAAATATTTCAAAAATACTTTGCAGTACCAATTCTTAAAAAGAAACAATATTTTAATTGCGAGAAAAATTTCATTACGGCCCAAAATATAAAAAGATTTAAATTTTTGAAAAAATATAGAATGTACGGAAGGTTTGGTACACCTAACGCTTCGAGAATTCAGCAACGATATGTTCAGACGCCAAGGAAGTTTTTATCACACTGCTCCTGAACCATTTGGGGCTAAACACCTTCGGTCGTTACTCAGAAGAACTATGTGAGTCTGTTCGCCCGAAGTGTCTGGGTGTTTGCTGCCTTTGCCCGCTGTAAACAAATGACGTCGGTCCCCGGGTGCGAGTCGCCTTTGCTCCGCT